TAGATTTTCATTGTTTTTCAATATCTTGTATTTTTCAGAGTATACAATTTGCGCTTCTTTTAAGGTTATCCCAAAGTATGCTGTTCTTTTCAATGCTATCGTATACGGAATTGTTCATTTCATTTTCGTACTGTCATTGCGAGTATATAGAAATACACGTGATCTTTCCGTATGGATTTCGTACGCTGCAACCTTACTGAACTTGTTTATTAGTTATAATAGTTCTTCAGTGATTCTCTAGGACTCTTTATAAACGGGATTACGGCATCTGCCAGTAAAGATCATTTTGCTTCTCCTTTTCCAATATGGATGGCTTTTATTTATTTCTCTTGCCTGATTTCCTTGGCCAGAGCCTCTGGTATGATTTCGAATAGAAGTGGTAAGAATGTTCATCCTCGTCCTGTCTCTTAGCTTAGGCAAAGCGTCTGGTCTTTCACTCTTGAGTGTGATGTCAGCCAGCGATTTTTCATAGATGCCCTTTGTCAGAGCGAGAGAGTTCTCTTTCATCCCTAGTTTTCTGGATTTTTTTTTTTTGTCCTAAAAGGTTGTTGGGGTTTGTCAAATGCTTTTTTTTGTGCGTGTCAGTTGAGATGATCGTGGGATTTTTGTTCTTTATCCTGTGGATGCGTTTGATGTATTACGTTAGGTACTTTTCTGATGTCGAACCAGCCCGGGGCGTGCCTGGTTGGTCGTGGTGGATTCTCTTTGTACCATGTTGCTGGATTTGGTTTCATAGTGTCCGTTCACGATTTCTGCATCCAGAGCCACAGGAGATGTTAATCTCTAGTTTTCCTTTCTCGTGACGTCTTTTTTCTGGTTTTAATACCAGGGTGGTACCGGCCTCGTGAAATGAGTTGGGACGTGTTCTCTCATCTTCTACTTTTTGTGAAGAACCGGTGTTTATTGTCCCCTACGTATTTGGTAAAATCGAAGCCATCGGGACTCTAAGTTTTTCTTTGTGGGTAATTTTTTTTTTTTTTTTTATTACTAATCCTCTGTCTTCGCTTCTTAAAGGTCTATTCGGGTTGCATACTTCTTTTCGAATCGGTTTGGTAGTTAGTGTCTTTCTAGGAATTTGTCCATTTCACCTAAGCTGTCTAGTTTATTGTCACCGATACATAAATCATACTCTTCCTTTATACTCATTTCTATTTCTGTAAGATTCATAGTCATGTCATTTCCTTCCCGATTCTAGTAATTTGGCCTTCTCTCTTTCTTCATTAATCTAGCTAAATGTTTGTCAATTTTGTTGATCTTTTTCAAGAGCCAGCTTTTAATTTCTTTGATTTTCCTTTATTCTATTTTCTATTATTTCTTTCCTTCAGCTTCTTTCAGGTGTAGTTTGCTTTTCTCCGGTTTGTCATGGCGGAGTGTTAGGTTATCTATTTAAGATCTTCTTTCTTAAATAGGCATTGACGGCTATAAAGTTCGCTCTCTGCGTTAGCTGCATCTCGTAAGTTTTGGTATGTTGCATCTTCATTTTTACTTATCTTGAATATTTTCCGATTTCTCTTCTGATACCTTCTTTAACTCGATATTTTGGAGTGGATTGTTTAATTTCCACATATTTATGAATTTCCAAGAAGTTTTTTCCCGCTATTGTCTTCTGATTTCTGATTTCATTCCATCGCGGTTGGAGAACGTACTTTGTATTATTTCTGTCCTTTTAAATTGGTGGACACTTGTTTTATGGGATAACCTATTGTCTATCCTGGAGTGCGCGCCCCGAGCCCTCGAGAAGAATGCACGTTCTGTTGTCGTGGTGTGTTCTCTAGGGACCTGTCAGGCCTAGTTGGTTTATCGTGTTGTTCAGGTCCTCCAGTCCCTTCTCGAACCTCCGTCTAGGTGTCCTACTCATTATTGAGAGTGAGGAATCGAAGTTTTCAACTATTATCGTCGACTCGTTTATTCTCTCTCTATTTCTGTCAGGTTCTGCTTCAGGCATTTTGGTGCCCTGTTATTAGGTGCGTGTATATTTATAGTTGCTTATCTTCCTCACGGATTGACCCGATTCGCGTTAGAAAGTGTTCCTCTTTACTTCCAGGAACCTTTTTTGACAATCTATTTTATCCGAAATCGGCATAGCCACTCTCACTTTCTGTGTTGCTGCTTGCATGGGTGTAGCCTGGGCAGAGAAGGGGATCCCCCACCCCTCGAATGCGCACACTTAGGTCTCGGCCGCAGCAGCAGATATCTGGGGACAGGATGAGAAATGCCGAGGGACGGGAGGAGAGGGGACCCCGTGTTCTCGGCTGTGGCGACGCCGAGCGGGGCCTCTGCCTGACCGACTCGGGAGGGGGAGGGGCAGGAGCCCTCGATTCGGGTACCACGATTCCAGCCTCCGTTACTGAACCTTTGTGGAGTTTCTTGAACAGACATCTCTTCGCTGTTGGCCTTTGGGACTATTTCCAGGGGCTTTAAATAGTGGTTTGTTTGTTTGTTTTCATTGTAGGTTATTTTTAGCCGTGCTAGAGACGGCATGGAGCTCGCAGGAGGGTTTGGTGTGTGGGCCCCCGCAGCCCTTCCTGGTCCCCTCGCTGCCCAGCCACCTGGCCATGCGGGGGACCGCAGAGCTGGCACAGACAGTTTCCGTCACAGGAGCTCCGGGTGCCCTGAAATGGGGACGGGCACTGAGATGCAACAAAGCGAAGGCCTTTGTGGTCACTGGCACTGGCCCGGAACGGTGCGTCTTGCCTTTGCTGGGGTCACCACTGTGGTTTAAGCAGGGAGAGGAACTGCGGGGTGGTGCGGAGGGGTGAGCTTTGGGGCGTGGGGGCCTGACGTTGCACGTGTCAAGTAAACGCAAACCGGGGCCTGTGCACTCTGCGTGTGATCCCGGCTGCGTGGACCTCATGCTGGGCGACCACACAGATAAGTCGTGGTCCCCGACCCTATACGCGGCCTCATCGCCTTTGCTCTCAGAGATGAGAACGTCGTGGTAAATTCATCTCTGACCACGTTCGTGGCTTAGGCGGCCTTCTGTTCGTTTGTGTCTGAATAAGACACGTTTTCGTGCCGGCGAAGGAAATGGCGTGACGTTTTGAGCACAGAGTGAACGACCCCGTTCGTAAACTTACAGCTGGCTCACGTCACCACTCGGGTCTCCCTGGCACGGAGGTGCCTTTTCCTCTAAACACCGGCATGAAACCGACGAGGAGGCCACGACGTTGCCCTGGAAATCTGCCTAAAGCCACGGCTCCTTGTCCCACTGAGGCCAAGGGCAGCTCCGTGCCCGTCGGTCGCGGGAACGCCCACAAGGGTGGGTGGCCGATGGCAGCTCTCTCCCAAGGCTGTTCGCATCGGACAGGGGAGCTTTGAGCCCAGTAGGTTGCTAGTTAGTGACCGACGGGCCACCCTCCTTGGCTCCTGTCCCGCCCCCGCTAACACCGAGTCATCGCCGGTGACCGGTGGATAAGAACAGCGTCGATGACGTCTGAATTATGGCTTCCGATTTACCTGTTCGGGTCTTTCGTGCTGGGAATGACAAGGATACATTCTCGTTTGCAGAAGGTTTTTTCTATCCAAGCTCTCTGTCCGTGGAAGAGGGAGAAATGGTAATTAGACCCACGCAGTCCCAAGCCATCGTCACAATTCACGCTCTTAGGCACGAAATTAAAATGCCGTTTGCAGGAAGTGTCCCCGAACCTTCTGATTGACCCTCCCGCCGCCTCCACCCTCCTGGGCAGCAGCGCTGGTGGATCTGGGGCTGCCCGCCCTCCCCGGTGCCACCTCCGGAAGAGTGGCAGCGACCGCCCAGCGTCGTAGGGGCCTCCCCAGCGAGGTCCCGTCCAGGACCCGTGCCGCCTCCCTCGCTCCAGAGAGCACTGGCCCAGTCCCAGCCGTGCAGGGTCGGTCCGACCCAGGCTCCCGTCCTGGAAGAACCTCTGAGCCCCGCCCGAACCCGGCCTTCCTGGGGAGGAAGGTCTCAGAGTCGGCTGGTCACGGGGCTGCTTTTTGAATAAGAGGAATGACTGTAATTCAGAACCTTCCCAGGGACCTTGGAAAAACAACATCGTGCACTTTTCGTTCCAAATAATCGAATGGGGAAAGCGGGAGCATCGGCCCGGGGGAGACGGCTCCGGCGACCGCTCCCCGAGGCCCCTCGCCCCG